CGTACTTCAGTGTGCTCATAAATTATACAAAAAGTACCCATAACTTAATCAATGTATGCCTGCGTTTTTTGCCAGCGTACGTTAGGCATATGCTTGTCTAAATCGTCAAGGAGTGACAGGGACTTTAGTTAGAACATTTTTAACCAATCTGAATGCATGATCTGCTTGACATGTCTCTGTAAAGTGCCTTTAGATGAAATGTGTTTGAATTGGCACCGTACAAATTAACTGAATTGAATTAAATTCTCCACAAGCTCAAGGTTTATTGATCATCTGTGGATAATATGCAAAAAAAATTTCATTAAATATTAGTGATAGAAATGTACATGTAATAAATGTATGGTTTCATAATGTATCAGCAAAATAAATCAGTAAAACAAATTATATTAATTTAATATTAGGAAAATTAGGAACAATTGTAGTTACAGTGTCGATCAATGATACCTGAAATCTATCAAATACTGCATACTATCAAATACTGCATTTTTTAAGCAGTAGAGAAATTTAACTTAATTAAATAGAATATCAGAACGCCAAGGTCCTCGCCCTCAACCTCCACCCAACCCCTTTGGCCCCTCCTACAAGTGGGGAGCCTATTGGAAGGGGGACCTTTGGAATGTGCTCGGCCGGGCTCCAGGGGTAAAAGCCCGGACAACTGGTGCTCGCCAGCGTGCCCTGCCTCCAGGAAGGGCTCCAGAGTGGGGCCCCGTTGACCCGCGTCCGGGTCGAGGGAACACTACGTCCATTTGTTTTACTTGTCGTAAGAGATCTTTGGGCTGCTCTTTGTATGGTCCCTCACCTAGGACCTGTTACCTTGGAGTATTTAGGGGGGTACTGGAGAGTGCCCCTCCTTGGGACTCCCTTGTTCTTCCGGGGGACTTCAACACTGTGGGCAATGACATTGAGACCTGGGGAGGCGTGGTTGGAAGGAATGTTCCACCTGACCTGAACTCGAGTGGTTGTTGGACTTCTGTGCTCGTCATGGATTGTCCACAACGAACACCATGTTCAAGCATAAGGGTGTAACATATGTGCTCTTGGCACCAAGGCACCCTCGGCCATACTTCAATGATCGACTTTGTTGTTGTTTCATCTGATTTGCGGTCACATGGGTGAAGAGAGGGGCGGAGCTCTCAACCGACCACTACCTGGTGGTGTGTTGGCTCAGATGGTGGGGGAGGATGCTGTGAGACCTGGAAGGCCCAAACGTATTGTGAGGGTTTGCTGGGAAGATCTGGCAGAGTGCCCCGTGAGAAGGAACTTTAACTCCCATCTCCGGCAGAGCTTTAAACACGTTCTGAGGGAGGTGGGGTACATTGAGTCTGAGTGGACCATGTTCTGTGCCTCTTTTGTTGAGGCGGCTAGTCAGAGCTGTGGCTGCAAGGATGTCGGTGCATGTTGTGGCGGCAACCCTCGAACACGCTGGTGGACACCAGTGGTGAGGGAAGCTGTCAAGCTGAAGGAGTCTGGCTTTATTGACCTGTCCGACTCCAGAAGCAGATGATATTTACCGGCAGTCAAAGCGGCAAGTGGCTCGGCTGGTCGTGGAGGCAAAATCTCGGGTGTGGGAAGAGTTTGGACAGGCCATGGAGAAAGAGTTCCATACGGCTTTGAAGTGATTCTGGTCAACAATTGGGCGTCTCAGGGGGGGAAGCAGTGCAGTACAAACACTATAGCAGGGGTGGTGTGCTACTGACCTCGAGTTGGGACGTCGTATGTCAGTAGGCAGAATACTTTAAAAACCTCCTTAATCCCACCAACACGTCTTCCATTGAGGAAGCAGAGCCTGGGGGTCCTATGGGGGGTATTTCGGGAGTATGGAGTACCAGGCCATTCAATACGGGCTGTTAGGTCTCAGTTTGACCGGTGTAAGAGCCTGGTCTGCATTGCTTGCAGTAAGTCGGACTCGTTTCCAGTGAGGGTTGGACTCTGCCAATGTTGCCCTTTCTCACCGATTCTGTTCATAACTTTTATGGACAGAATTTCTAGGCACAGCTAAGGTGTTGAGGGGATCTGTTTTGGTGGCCTTAGGATTGCATCTCTGTTATTCGCAGATGATGTGGTTATATTGGCTTCATCAGGGCGTGATCTACAGCTCTCACTGGATCGGTTTGCAGCGGAGTGTGAAGCGGCCGGGATGAGGATCAGTGCCTCTAAATCCGAGACCATGGTCTTAAGCCGGAAAAGAGTAGAGTGCCTTCTCCAGGTTGGGGAGGATGTATTGTCCCTAGTGGAGGAGTTTAACTATCTTGTGGTCTTGTTCACGAATGAGGGGGAGATGGAACGGAAGATCGATAAGCGGATTGGTGTGGTTTCTGTTGTGAAACATGCACTTGCAGTTTTCTCTGTAGTGTGTCTGGGGTCTCCCTTAGAGATAGGGTGAGGCGCTCAGTCACTTGGGGAGATCTAATAGTAGAGCCGCTGCTCCTCCACATCGAGAGGAGCCAGTTGAGGTGGCTTGGGCATCTGATTAGGATGCCTCCTGGACGTCTCCCTGGTGAATTGTTCCAGAAACGTCCCACCAGGAGGGAGACCCAGGATACGCTGGAGGGACTATATTTTTTTGGCTGGCCTGGGAGCGCCTTGGGATTCCCCTGGAGGAGCTGACCCAAGTGACTGGGGACAAGGATGCCTGGGCCTCCCTACTGAAGCTGCTACCCAGCGACCCGACCCCGGATAAGTGGAAGGATAAAAATGCGGAAGGATGGATGGATAAATAGAAAATCATTGCCATTATTTCCTGTGTCTATCCTTTGGTGTTATGTAGCTGTAAAGTGCCTTGAGATGACATGTGTTGTGAATTTGGTGCAATATAAATAAACTGAAATGAATTGAATCTAATGTTACACAACTGCTTATCCCCCTTGATAATATTTAAAAATTTGAATTGGCACATATATTCTACATGGACAGTCTAAATTGGCCCTTTTGATTATCAAATATTCGTTTCTGAAAAGGAAACTGCTAGGAATTGTACCTTTCTAGTCCTTCTAGAACTCATGGGGGCATTAGACTCATTTGTGATGTGCCATATAAATAAAGTTTGATTTATTTTTTTATGATTGAAAGTAGTCCCCCATTCTCAAAATGTTATTGAATAAAGTCTCCTGTATCAAAACAATGAAAATATTGTAATATAATATAATTTAATATTAATTATTAATAATAATTAATTAATTTATATAACTATAAGGAAAATATACTATGAAATGACATTTTTTTTCTAAAATGGCTTTTTTTTCATTTTCTTTTTCTAGCATTTTGATCCAGTTAGACTAATCCCATCGAAATATGTGTTGTATATTGTAATTAGTTTTTTACTAATTTAGGATATACTTATTTAACTCATTTAGGATATATTTTCAGTGGGAGATTAGGGACTGGGACATAGAAGTACTGATCCAAAGAAGCTTTTTAACCTACAAAAGATAATCGTATACTAGTTGCTTAGGGGGTCTAAATCTATTAACTATATAGTAAGCAGGAGAGCTTTGGTTTTTAATATCAAAAGGGATGAAAAAAGCACATAGCAAAAATGCCCTGTGTTGTTTTAACACCTTATCAGGGCTTACATAGGACCACACTATTCAGGGTGGAGTTAGCACAGTCGAAAGAGTAAACATTTTTTAAACGGTTAAAACCAGTTATTGTAAACAAAAGAAACTAAAACAAATCCATTTTGGGGGCTTCAGTCAATGAGTAGATGCAATCAGCTGATTTTCATTCAATAAAAAACTTTGACCCAATCTGGCTGCACGATCTTGGTGAATTGTCTCTAAACAGTACCTTTAGATGACATTTGTTGAGAATTGGTGCTATATAAATAAACTTAATTGAACTGAATTGAATTCATTTTTGCAGTTGTGTTTCCAAAATTTTTCAATAAAAAAAAAAAAACTTTTTTTCTAAGTTGAAGACATTTCGCTTTACATCCAAGAAGCTTTTTCCAGTGGATTGTTTTTCATTTTCTTTTTTGGAATGACTATGACCTGAGTGACTGAGAATATTCACCAGTTCAATTCAATTCAGTTTATTTATATAGCGCCAAATTCACAACACGTCATCTCAAGGCACTTTACAGTTCAACCAGATCATACAGTCAAATTGATTGAAAGTTTTCTATCAAAGGAAAACCAGTTCATTGCATTGACTCATTGACTCAAATACAATCCCTCACACTAAGCATGCTTGTAGCGACAGTGGAGAGGAGAAACTCCCTTTTAACAGGAAGAAACCTCCAGCAGAACCAGGCTCAGTGTGAGCAGCCATCTGAGGCCGACTGGGGTTCAAGGAGACAGAAGCAGAGAAACAAAAAGCCAGGCAGACGAGCTCCGAGCCAGCTCCCATGCCAGAGGACGAAGAGAGCACATCCAGCCAGTCACGGTCAGAGAAATAGGACCACACTGGAAAACAGGCCTATCTCCAGCATCTATAAAAAAGGGTGTTGATGGAAGCAGCACAGCTGATGTTTCTCTCCAGGATTGCATCACAGCCAAACAGCAAACAGGCTTCTTGCTGTCTGCTGACATTCAAATAATGGAGGTCTATGGTGCCCGAGACAGAAAGGTCTATAAAAGTCCACAAAAAAACGTGTCAATATTCCTCCATACTGCTCGTCCAATGTATTCCAAGTGTCCTGAGTGGGTAGCATCCAGAATTTACTCGAAACAAAGTCATTTAGAATGTCTTTAGAGCAAAAACAGTAGTGTATAGGATTTCCTGAAAGCGCGCACATGCGCGATCACGACGCTACGGAGGCCGGCAGACCAAACCAGATGAAAGTGCGCATTCAGCGTCTGCTCTTCCAATAATGCAAGCGTAAAAGAAGAAATGTGCCGTTTACCTGTGCAAAGAAAGAAACAACGAAAGAAAAATGTCTGAGGACTTCAGTGTTGAGGAAGAGCATGAGTTCGTTGCCGAGCTGAATGCGCTGGTTTGGTCTGCCGGCTTCCGTAGCTGGATTATTTTTAGAAAATAATAATCTTTCCTCTTTTCTACAGGATCAAAAAGTGATCCATGACTGCAGAAAAGCAGCACACTGGTTGGAAGAAAACCAAAGTCTCTTCAGCAGCAAGGTGGATTTACCTGACATTTTGATGATGGGGGAGGAAAATGTGGCTGAAGCAGTCAAGCTATTCAAACAAATGTGTGAAGTAGATGACTTCACCATTGATGAGCATGAGAGGGAGATGGTTTTAGAACCTTTCAAGTTTGTTTTTGAAAAGATTGAAGACGTGGCAGTTTTTGGAGGAGCTGGCCGATCGTCAGAATCTTCTCCTGTACTGTGAGTGTAGATTGTGAATAAAGGACTTAAAGATGTAAGGATGATTATTTGTGTTTATATAATTCTCTGTTTATAACATGACATGCACATGCAGCTGTGCTATAAGTTAAAATAAGTTGTGGCTGAATATGGGGAGAAATATGGCTATTAATAATGGAAAAGATAAGTTAACTCAGCATTGATATTTTTAGTTTTCTTTTTTTATACTTTATACATTTCGGGAGGGAAATATAATAATACACATAATATATATGTGTGTATATATATATATATATATATATATATATATATATATATATATGTACAGTGGTTAAAGTGGGTTTTTACAGGTGGGGGAGCCCTAAAATTCAGTGTCACAGCGCAGTCGGGGAAAATAGTGGAACATCTTTACAAAGTTTTAGAAATGATATCAAAGATCTGTACTGGTTTTATTTGCCAGATTAGCATCTAACATAACTAATATGAAGAAATGCAGTAAACTAAGCCTAAAAATAAGGCTTGGACAAAAACTAAATGCAGTGGAACTGTAGGCTATGACCTTGGCTTTCAGTCCCTAATCATAGAAAAAAAATATGAAGTCCTTTTAGTCATATTTTATTTCCTTTTATTTTACAGTTTTCTTATTTTCAAATGTTTTTATTTGTCAAGACAATTCATTTGCAGATTTTGTATTTTCACAAGTTTTGTGTTTCCTTTTTGTTTTTCAGATTGAGTTTAATCAATTACATTCACAGATCATTCTATTTTAAGCCCGCTTAAAAAAGTGCTCACTCTTGACGAAAACAATGACCAATAAATATGTTGTTGTAATATATTACATACATTTTTTTTGGATTAAAGGGTTTTTTTTGGATTCATTTCTGATAACTTTTTTTTTTTTAATTCCAATCTAAACAATGTGCTTTTTTTTTAAAGAACAATAATGACACAAATTTTACTCTATTTCCAGGCGTGTTGACTAATTTAACTTTTTAGTTGTTAACATTTTAACTGTAAACTTCAAATAAAAATACAGCAATTAGTTATTCACATAAATACAGGAGAAAAGGAGAAGGTAAAATGATGTCTCTGCAAGTCATCTAGGAATCTTCTATGTCATTACAGTTAATAATAAAAATAATAATAATGATAATAATAATAAAAATAACAAAAATAGTATAACAATACGCCTGTTATTATCAGAGTAAGATATTGAGGCAGGCTGAGGCTACCACAGAGTCATAAAAGATTTTAAGGAGGGGCCTGCAGACTCCAAAGGCCCTCGGCCGCCTCAGGAGGTGGAGGCGGCTCTGGCCCTTTTTATACAGAGCGTCAGTGTTATGAGTCCAGTCCAGTTTATTACTGACGTAAACACCCAGGTATTTGAAACTCTCCACAGTTTACATTACATTGAACCCTCGCTATAACGCGGTTCACTTTTCACGGCCTCGCTGCTTCACGGATTTGCATCATGCATTGTTAAACTTTATTGTCAAACATAATCGATGGTGGCATGTCGGTTTATAAGGATCTTTTGGCCCAGAAGAAAAAAGAGCGACAACAACTACCGATAACTATGTTCTTCTCTCAAAAACACACATGCACCACAGGCTTTAGAAGAAAAAAACGCCACAGAGCAATCAGGATGCAGCGGCTCCGTCAGAAGAGCAGTGAAATACTGTACTGTACACGTCAGTCACTATCTGTCCTACTGTACTTTGTATTTTTTTTCATAATCTTTTTTCATTTTCTCCCGTTCCAATCCATCACAGCGGGGCGGTGCTGATCCCCGCAATATTAACTCTTCTTTTCGTATTGATGATTAAAATTATTACTTATTTATTTATAACTATATTATTTTACAGTACAGTACAGTAGTTAACAACGTTTATACCGTACTTTTATTTGTTAAACAAATGCTTGGGCCTGTAAAAACTTTTTGTTCCTTGATTTCAATGTTGTATGGAGTATTTCATTGTATGATAACTAAAAAAAAAAAGGTGTCTACTTCACGGATTTCACCTATCGCGGGTTCTTTTTGGAACGTAACCCCCGCGATAAACGAGGGTTCACTGTATTTAAAATGGGAATACTCCGGATTAGCTCACTGACTTTTGGGTCGCTCACAGCCATCTTTGGCAACAGCTTAGAAACGCCACTATTCATCGGGGCAGCAAGCAACATTTTTGCATAATGTGCCCAAAAGGCCTGGGGGTTGGGCCTTTCCTGCTTGTTGTATCAGGCATCATAGCGTCCTTTTCCAGATCAAACTGAAAATTTTACCAGCTAGATAATAATAATAATAATAACACAAATAGTATAACAATACGCCTATTATTATCAGAGTAAGATATTGAGGCTGTAGAATGATAATCCCTATAGTCTAATGTAATTCCTTGGAAAGGTGGAACGCACATCAGCTGATCTAAATAAAAGAAAGACGCCATAAAGTCAAACAGCATAATAGTCTAGTGTACGTAAAATATATAAATAAGTTAAATAAGTTATTATACAATTTTTGATATCATAGGCCATCAAGTGAAAAAATTGAAAAACATTTAACGCAACATTAATAAACTCGGCCACAGCTGGGACTGAACCCTCAACCTTTTGAACTGCAGACCATTCACCCTAACCTGACAACAGCCAGATGCATGTCTCGCTCCGCCTAGCTCCACTCACATACATCTGGGAACCCGCTCATTGAAAGTGATTTCCCCAACCGAATTTATGGTCTGTCCAATCAGGACGCAGGGCGGGTGTGTCCTGGAGTGGAGAAGCGACCGTGAGATTCCAACAACAATGGCGGCTCGCATTGAGGAAGCAAGCGTTAGCACTGATGCTGCTATTTCTTCTGTGTTGTCCAATCTATCTGATATTGTTTCATTAAAAGAACACCAGAGAACGGCTTTGAAGGCTTTTGTTGGTGGAAACGATGTTTTTGCCCTTCTCCCGACCTGATTTGGCAAGAGCTTGATCTACCAAATGGCTCCTCCTCTCACAGTGTCACGGGTTAGCTTCGGTGTGAGTGGTTGAAATAGCACGTCAATAAAGATGACAGACAAGTGGCTTATCCAATCATATGCAAGGAGTTTTGATAAGCCCCAGCCTTCAGTAAAGGCAATTCCTATGGCGGGTTCCCAGATGTATGTGAGTGGAGCTAGGCGGAGCGAGACATGCATCTGGTTGTTGTCAGGTTACATTCACCCTACCCTCTGTGCCAAAGCTGGGAAACAGTAGTCCGCTCAGCTCGCAACAGCTCACACCCCTCCCAGTCTGCTCATTGACCTATCTAATCCTGACTCATGGGACGCCGAAATGGACTCAGACTGCCACCTAGTGGCTATAGTAGTCACATGTTTTTCACACAATTCTTGAAACACGGGGAGCGTGAGTGAAGTGTCCATTTCCAACCAGCACCCACTGTATCACGGATAGAGGAGTGCTAATGATGAGAACCCTGCCACTAGGGGAGAAGACGAGGGGCGAATCAGACCTGCGGCTAACGACTCGTTAATATATTTCTCCATGGCCTGCCTTTCGGTTCAAGAAATATTATAGAGCCTGCTGGTCAGTAAGGGAGCCCCAGGTAACAGTTCGATAGCACAATCACAGGGGTGATGGGGCGGTTTGCTGAAAACCTTTTGGAGATTGTGATACTGGACCGGCGTGGGAGAACCTGGGAGACACAAAGAGCACGAGCTTAGCAAAGGGTTTAGCCAGTCTGGAGAGTGAGGCCACTGAGGCATACCAACAACGGTTAATACTCTGGCGTCCTCCTGCTGTCTGAGTTCTGGTCTTATAGTGCGGCTCAGCACTGCTGAACACGCTGTAGGTGAGCGCGCCCCGCCCACCAGTCAACTGCCGACACCTGTGGAAAGAGCAGAGATAGAGTGGGGCCGGCAGAAACTTCTCGGCTCTGCTCACTGAGTCCTAACACAAAGGAGCTGTGTTGTCAAAGACAGTACGCAGATAAATAGCAACCCCATCAACAAAATCATCAACCTGTGAAGGGGAATAAACTAAGCTTTGGCAATTTGTAGCACTGCTCAGCGACACAGAGGAGAGAGAAATGAAGAAGATTCTTTAAAATTTATAACTTCACTATCTGATAATGATCTGCTACACCTGAACCTTCTTCAGGGGAACTCTGTTAAAGTAATCCTGAGGGTTATTAAAAAGTGGTCAGAGAGGACAGGGTTGTGAGGAAATACTGTTATATCCTCACATTCTAATCCATATGTCAGCACAAGTTCCAAAGTATGAAGATGAGAATGTGTGGGGCTATTCACATTTTGAACAAAGCCAATAGTGTCTAAGATAGCAATAAAGGCTGCTCTTAAGCTATTGCCTTCAATGTGAGCATGGGAGTTAAAATCCCCCACTATGATTACTCTGTCAATATTTAATACCAAATCAGAAAGGAACTCTGAAAAGTCATCTAAAAATTCAGAGTAAGGACCTGGTGGACGATACAAAGTTACAAAAAGAAGAGGTTTTCTTGCTTTGCAATTTGGATGAGGGATATTAAGCGTTAAATGTTCAAAAGAGTTGTAAGTATTAACTGCCTTTGGATTTTATTATATATATTATATTTTATTAAATGATGCAGCCAAACCAGTAAGTAAGACTGAAAGATTGTTGCTACTCCTCCTCCTCACCCAGAACTTCTGGGGATGTGAAAATTTAAATAGCTTAAAGGAGTTGCCTCATTTATGCTCACAAAATCCTCTTGCTGCAGCCAGGTTTCTGTTAGGCAACATAAATCAATGTGATTATCACAAATCAAGTCATTAACTAGCAGACTTTTAGAGGAAATACATCTTATGTTAAACAGACCACATTTAATCATTTTAACTTTTTCCCCAATTGAAGTTTTTTATTTATTTATTAAATTATCATGATTTACTCATTTGGGAATATTTGCTAATTTATTAGATTTCTCAGATCTGACACTGTCTGGATGGAGTAAAGTGTAGGTAACAGTAGAGAAGCTGCAGAGACATGTGTTAAACTACGACTGTGCTTCCTAGTAGGCACCCTGGGTTGTCAGGGT